TCGCTCGGCGCCCCTCCGCGTGTCTGCTGGCTTTCGCGGAGACGTGTTGTCGGCGCGGTGGCGAACAATGTAATTTGACGAAGGTCCGAATATTTCTTAAGTTTGCCTGGGTGATCATTAGTGTGGTGAAGCCTCAGTAAATTGTTTTCTTCTATTACGTGTTTGAAAGCCCGTTTACTCCACAGCACACGGTCGCGTGCTTTCGATTTCTTGGATGGGGAGGAATCACGGAAAAACTTTTTGATTTCTTGTCTGTCTCGAATCACATTCAAAGTGACGACTGCTTGGTAACTGATACTGGAGGGAACATCAATGTTGCAGTCAAGTGAATGGGAAGGTTCGATAGCTGCTTTTCTTGAGTTCGGTTGTGTTCGGTTAGCTTCAAGTTTGAGCCAACCACGCCGGTCGGTGCGTTGGCTATTCATCTTGGCTGCTTTTCGCCGAAAAAGCCTCTGGACCACACTGAAGGAGTTGGGCTGATTTCGCAATTACTTGATTCAGGAAAGCTTGCTCGCTGCAAATGATGAATGAGGGAAATTATCTGTTTTCAAAAGGTGGGAGACAAGTCTCGCAACGTTAGATGCTGCCACGGCATTTTGACCTATCGCGCTTCCAATATTTATATTACCAGGACGTCGAAGCCAGCAGTAATATACGTCTACATTGATCAGGTTGAACGGCCACAAAAAAATACTAATTTTCTCCGTTCAGGATTCGAAGCAAAGTTCAATGCAGAGAGGTTCTGCGTGGATCTTCAATGAAGACTCTCTTCAGTTTGTCTCCGTGCTGCCGGCTATAGAACCATTTGGCTAAATTTAAGTAGTATGTCTTCGTCTGTCAAATATACTTTTATTCAGCAGCTCACCTAATAGCTAGTCAACTAAGCTCATATTTCAACCCGAAGGATATACTAATATCGCTTTAGTGGGACCATGGTACGTAATATAATACATAACCCGCTCGTCAAAATGACTTCTCAATTGCTACTAAAACCTGAATTGAAATACGAGTATCAGCTGCTTAGTGGGGCGCCGGCGGGTTAACATGGTCCTTGGCTCAAAAAGCGGTTGCTTAATTTTCGTAATTTTCCTGCAGCCTGTCTTGATGGCCGAGCAGACGACTGGAGCTGTTTCGTAAACGCGGATACGCGCAAAAGCTCGATTCCGCGGACAGATAAGTCGCATGGTCGAGGCATGCGAGTTAGCTGAAAAGTTACTATCTGTGGAACAATTCTATAGTCATCGCCGCTTTCCTTAGATGATCAAAACTGATTAGTATATTACCGTCCCTCCGGAGCCCATAGTTTCGGTTTTGAACGAAATCTCCCAAACGAAAGTTTGACACGAAAAGAACAAAAAAACACCGGCAAAACAAAACTATGCTTTGCAAGTTTATCTGCACCGGATACACTTCACCGTCTCAGTTCAAATACCTATAAAATTGGGCATTAAACAAAAGAAAATCTGTTAAATTGAACGCGCCACCCATTCAGGCGGCCTGGCCGAGCCGCCGCGACCTGGACTCATCCGCCATGTTTGTTTGGTGGTGGCGCCCCCTATAGGTCGCTGGAGTCGCGAATATGTGATATGTGTGTAAATGTGAGCTAAAAATGTATTATGCTTTTGTTTTATTGCGTTTATGTGCTTTTTTACAATTGCTTTGTGAATTGTTTAGGTATTTTTATTCATTACAAGTTTGATGAAATTGTATGTGAATATCAATGAACCGCTAATGTAGAAGAACCACAGTATTGATAAATAGATAAAATTAATGATTCCCGCATACCAGAAGGAACGTTTGGCATGCGAAAGCAGTAAAAAAAAAAGAAAAGGTAATTGAATAAACATATTGTAAAACTCGGCTCTGGAGGGTGTTCTTTTCGCGTGTAGCCTGAAAATTGGTGCCCGCTCTACCTTAGAACCTTAGGAGTGATTATCATCATCGCCTACTTCACTGATTGTCATCATCACCATCTTTCAGAAAGTGACCGACACTTCGAAATATCTTAGGCAGCTGTATATAGTGGTATATTTAAGGTGTTCGTTAACTAACAGCGCGTTTCTGGTGCGATGTTACACGCATAAAGAATATTTTTTGAAAATCGTCTCTTCTATACCAAAATCATTGTCTATGCGAACGCAATACAATGGTAGTAGACACACTGAGTCATCCGTATATGCAGCTACTGACGGGATGAGATTCGCAGGGCATATTTTCTCTTTCGTCATGGTTTGACTACGCCTGTACGCTAGAGTCTCACGCATTGCCGAGGCGTTATCGAAAGTAGGAATTTCGCGCTGGAGGAGGGACGTTTACTGAAGGATTTCCCCGCCGTTCTAATTCTGTGACTGAGTAAATTTTTCGCACAGAGTATTCATACGCGCATTTCACTCCAGTCTGCCGATAATAGCAATCAAAACAACACAAAAAACGAATCGTGAAGCTAAGGACGAGACCACGACAAATCGAGCCCCGCGTCTCTTAAAATTTCAACGACTATATCGGATGTAAATATTATATGACGCGAGTGCAGCGTCACCACTATAATACATTCGACACAGCTTCGTCTGCACTTTCTGCTGTGTAGCCCCCTCCGATAAGCTTCGCAGTTCAGTATACCCGGTAATAGGGACTTTTTGCAAACCATTAACGTGTTCCGTGTTCCACTCTATCACAGCCTTTGAAGCGCGCTTTTAACCGCGTGCCCCGCGGTCACGGTATCACCCGGGCGCGGGCTTAAAAGCACGCTTCAAAGGTAGTGAGGTAAGCGGAGCACGGTAACGGTTTGCGAAAAATTCCTAATGCTGGTAAGCGCAGCAATTGAAGGGCGCGTTTTTGGCAGTGTACCGATCACGCCATTATCATTCAGCAGGAAATCGGATTGCGCCATTGGCGGGTAAGATCATCATCATCGTCATTATCGCTTGAGATGAGATGGCTGAGAAACGAATCCAGAGGACAGAGACGTGAATATAATAAGTGACGCCCTATGTTTCTTAAGCTCTAGGCGCCAATAAGTTATGCATGAGAAGAACCGTAGATTGAGTTTTGATAAAAATTACCATGCTGCATGCAGCCCTTCGGAAACACAAGGAACACGTTAATCTTACACGTGTCTGTTTTTCTTTTTTTTTTTTTAAGTGAAGATTTTTTGGCTTGTACAGCTTTAGTTTCGAGGGGGTGGCTTGTACATGTCGGGAGTATCTGCGAGGACAAATATATAACACACTCCTTCCGGGAACAAATATTTTGCCATAGCGGAGGCCAGGGACTGAAAAATAAAAACATTACTAAACCACTTATTTTTTTGTTAATTCCAGGGACGACGGACAAAAAAGGGACAAACAAACACAAAACGTCTCTTCTTAAGTTATTTCGAGTTTGTCCCCTTTTTCGGCCGTCGTCTACCGTTTCCCTTTTTTTTTTAATGGGTATTATAAACTAACTTGACTGTCTACTCACTCTATCTTTAAAATTAACAGACACTTTTCAAAAGTTCATCGAGCAACATTGGAGGTCGCCATTGCTCAGAAACGAAGCGTGTGATTGGATCCAAGTCCTCGCCGAAGGATGACGCAGCCCTCGTGTCCAGTACGTGCTCAGAGTGTATATGACCCTAAATATCGGAGAGGCGATGGCGGGGACTTTGTCTATTACCGAAATAATGGCCTACGATTAACTAATAAACATTTACTTATTGAAAAGCAACATACTGTTCAAATTAAAAAAAAAAAAATCTCGACAAGCGTCATGGGCAATTCCTAAATTAGAAAATTTTTAGGACGGCTCGTTGCACGTGGGAAGCGGGAGACTGCGGTGGCCTCTCAAGCACGATGCGAAAACGCGAATGATACGAATATTCATCCGTGTTTTTGCATCGTCGGCCTCGCGCTTGCGGCACGAGCGGTAAATTCAGCGCACACCCGCTCTTCCCACGCGCTTCGAACTCGTCCCAAGATCGACTGATTTTGGGAGTTTCGATGAGGCTCAGCAAGTTCTTATTTTCTTAGTTTTATAACCATTCCGTTCGTAAAACCCTGCGTTTATTTTTACTAATTAAGAAAAGTAATTATTCAATCTCAGATAGTTCGTGCTTATTATTATGCTGTACGCAATCCTCACGGCTGGCAGTTCGTTCCCGGAAATAGTTTTTTTTTTTTTTTTCTTTTTCTGAGTCTCCCTAGTTTTATCAACTTTTGAAAGAGTTCGCGGAAACGCCCGGTATCATTATTGGAAATACAGTGAGTGTGCAGGCGAGCTTGGGATAGTTAATCAGGATGATTAAAAGCCCAGACTGTGGTGAGGGGAAAAAGAGTAAGCACTCGACGATAATTTCGGACTGGAAATTTTTTAATTATCAAGATGGATTAATCGGGACGATTGCGAAGTAACAGACTTTCGGATTATCAAAAGACATGGTATCCATATCGAATCTTTGGAAAGAATACTTACCGTAGTTTTGTTTACGTTCAAAAGATGCGCCACGCGTTACCCGCTACCTTAGTAGTTTTTTTTTCTGTTGACAAATCACCGTCGCGGAAATAAAAGGAAATAAAACCCCGCAATTTCTAGCGTTCATTATGTTGTCAGTAGCGATTGATAGCGTCTTCCGCGAGGCTCCTTTTTCAACTAACTTACAATTAATAAATATTAATAAACTTCGGCATTCTCCCCTTTTTTACCAACCTTTTTCCCTCCCCTAACAGTCTCCTAACAACGAAGAAGACGGAGGAGCAGAAAAAACAACAACTTAGAACTCAACTTCCCGGCAGCAAGGAGTTCGGCCACCGGAGCCGTTGATACTTTCGCTTCACTTTCTTGGGAAGAGTTTTTTTTTCCCTAAACACCCTTTCTTACACCTCCAGCCTCCCCTCTCCCCACTTTCGAACCTCCCTTTTCTCCTCCTCTCCTTCCTCTATAAACGGAGGCCGCTGATTGGTCCGCTCCTTTTTGTCACGTGACCCCAGGCGCACTGGATAAAAGTGAGACAGAGCCGCACGCGTGTTCAGAGAGTCGCGTAGTTGCTGCGTCTCACGGTCGCGAGGAAAATCACGCTGACCCCAGGGCTTCTGCACTGCAGCGAGGCCTCGTTCAGCGGAAGCCTGCGAGTGAATTCCACCCAGACGAAAGTTTAGGGGGCAGGCCGCGTTAAGGACATCTCTTCAGGCCGAAAGATAAAACAGCTCTCTTATCGCTCCGCTTCCGATTTACTCGTACACAATGACGTCACTACTCTTCGTGTTCCTATTGGCCAGCGTCTCCCTGTGCTCCGCCCTCATTGTAAGTGAATCTTCGTTTCTGACCTCTCTTTATTTCAGAAATACCGGAGGAACGCCTGCATTTTATTCGCCCAAATATAACCGTGAATCTGATCACTGTAATTTTCTTCGCGACTGAAATGAGTACGGTAAATTAAAGGCATTGTAAAAACCAAGCGTGAAAATTTGGTTTTAGAATGAATTAATTTGTGGTATTATCCGCGCTACGATTTATCAGTTTCTATCTTTATTTAAGCAGACACAATGCTCTTGAATGGCCTAGAATCATTAGGTACCAAACAGCACTGCAGAATAGTTAGTATTGCTTTACGTTTATCAATTTCATATCAACATTGCGTTTGTTTTATTATTTAGAATAATGAATTATTTTTAAAAATATTATAAGTAGCTTTTTTTGCGTTTTAGTGCGAGGAATGCCAACAAGGCAATTTAATAGAAACCCTCTAAGGGAATGCTTCATATTTGCTAGTAACCATGGACTAAAAGGGAATGTAGCACTTTTCTGCATTTAGACATCTCAAGAGCAAACAGTTAAGGGTAATAAGTTACACACGACCTAGATTAACATTTAAAAATAGTTTTAAAAGTCGCTCTCATCGCGTTTGAGTGTTATGAGGAATTTTAATATGTTTAATACAGTTTGCAAAAACATTTTTAGGGCGTCATATCACGCAAGAGGTGGATAACTATGAGAATAAATTATACCACCTTATATTACCTTAAAAAAAATTGTAAATATTTGCCTAGTTTCAAATTTTTTTAAAGCTCAGTACACTTAGCTTGCAGATCAAGGCAAACAAATGCTGTTTTACATGGGGTACTTCACCAACCATATAATCTTTTAAATTATCTATTCACATGCAGTATTACAACGGAATTAATTACAGAACTAATGCATGCAATAGGATTTGTGTTTCTTTCTTGGATTCGCGTGATTGGAAGAAGCTGAAGTCACGTCCTTCTTGCCAGTTATGATTATAATGCGATTAAAGGCAGAGGTGCAAGCGAGCTGGACAAGAAATTACGAAAATAATTCCTGGAGAAGGGGAACAAGGGGGACAAAGGACAAACACAGCTAGGTGACTGGTGCGCGACCGAAAAAATCCGCCTTGTCCGGGTATCGGAGAAGTCCCGGGTTCGATACCCGGACCAGGCGGATTTTTTCGGTCGCGCACCAGTCACCTAGCTTCCTTTGGAGATTTGTTTGTCCTTTGTCCCTCTTGTTCCCCTTCTCCAGGAATTATTTTCGTCATTATTGCCAGTTACTTTTGTATTTTCAAATTTTAACTTTACTCTTGCTATTAGCAAAAGCGGTTCCTTTTAAAAAGAGTGTAAAATGCGGCAAACTAATTGTTTTAGATTAAAATGCTCCTACACCCAACAAAGTTACGGCTGCACAAAGGTTGTTATTAATCTGTTCCCGGTGCAGCGGAGAAGACGCAACATTAAATTTAAAGTACGTTATTTACCAATATTTGTTTTTTAATGACTGAATCTTCATCTGAAGCTCGTTTTCCTGTTTATTAAGTTTATATAAAATACAGAACCTTTATCTAAGGATTCTGACGCTTTCCTGAAGATTTTGGTCCTCAATTATTGCGCTTAAAATACTGCAGTAAATTGCGCTGCTCGAGTCACACTAGAAAGACAAACAGAAACAACCGTCAAGTGACAAACACGACCATCGTTCACGCGAGGGTATCTTTGGCAGGCTTGCGATCACTAGTGTTTCCTTCACGAGCACTACGAGAGGCGGCAAGCCTGCCAAAGGTATACCGTCGCCTTCATGCTGGACGTCTTTGAGCGGCCTGCCGGTGCCGGTTGTTTCTGTTTGTCGCTCTAGTGGAACTCTGGCATAAGAGGCCATACAATAACTTGTCCCACTTCCCAGATATGGGTATTTTAAATTCCAGTGTGCAACGTTTGGCGCTTCGTATAACTGATGGCCTTAGAATGCTCATTGCTTGCGCCTTCCATGAATACACTCTAAAAACAGCCCGTGCGTCTGCTTTTCCACACAACACTTGGAGAGCCAATCACCGCAACTTACGAAGGCAGCTCAGTGAATGACAATGCCGAAACATATGTTTAGACCAAAAAAACGCAGTCTGAGTTCTGACATTAAGCAATGCAAAACGTCACGCCTTGCACTGCTTAATGTCACAAGTCAGACTGCGTTTTTTGGTCTAAACATATGTTTCGGCATCGTCCTTCGCTGAGCTGAGTCCGTAAGTCGCGGTGATTGGCTCTCCGAGTGTAGTGAGGGAAAGTAAACGCACGGGATTTTTTTTAGTGTGGCTGAACGCGTCGCGTATAAAAGGTAATATATATACTAGGGGTGGTGCGAATATTAATATTTTCGAATACGAATCGAATACGAATAGTTAGCTTCAAATATCAAATCGAATAGTCGAAGGCAGGTGCATTTATTCACGGCATTTTTATTTTCTCATGTGGGAACTGCAGTTGATATTTTTCTTTTGATTTTTAAACTGCAGGTGATTTTCTGCATGACAATTTGTAATCTTCCCTACAACTAGATTTTTCGCGGCACTGCTGTTAACAAGAATAAAAACACAAAAACGAAGATTCAAATTGTAGGGAAGATCACAAGTTGTCATGCAGAAAAATCAACTGCCGCACATGGTCAGGTAGGAGGCGCTCCCTTCGAGCGGAAACTACAACTCCAGCCACAGAAAAAATTTCTCTCTCTCGGCACTGAAGTGGCAGGTATTGCCAGGTATATTTGATGCAAAGCTTCGCCAGACTCGAATATCTTAAGTACCCGACAGTTCGGCACCACCCACACGGATCACTCTCTCTTTAGCAGTGCCTCCTCCGCATACGCTACAACTTTCCATTCTGAAGCTGAAAGCACTTTGCTTTGCATTGCACTTTTGGCACTTTTGGCTAAGTGGTCAAATGCTTGCAGAACATTTGCTTACGGCGTTGAGCCTTGCTCTTGTGACTGTTCACAACACTGTGACTGATAGCCATGTGTCGAGTGTTCACTGTGGTGTGAACCGCTTCATCATAAATTTTGAAGTGAGAAGATTGCAGATGAAGCTCATAACTTTCGCTGGCGCGCTATGTCCAAATGTCGCTTGCGAAGGCAACAGCGGTAGTGCCGTTTTTAAAGACACTGTTGAACTCTGATTTCACCTTCTTTCGGGTGTCGTCATACGTCCGTGGCACAAGCATGCGCGAGAGTGTAGAGCGGGATAGTAGGCGATAGTTGGGAACGGATTCTGTGAGAAGTTCTTGGAAGCCGCGGTCTTCCACAATACTGTAAGGCTCCAGTGTAAATCAAGCCCCACCACGGCGGCCCTCTTGTTATTTAGCGCTCGCACCCTCTTTTCTAGCTGACGGACCTTGTGCGGCGCATGAAGTCTGTTCAGCGTCGGTTGATCTTTTCCTGGCGTACCAGTGGTAATCCCACGATACTCTTTCAACAACGAAGGATGCACACTTTGAGATGGTTGACAAGGGGTGTTGTCGTACCTGTGGGCGTTTTAAGCGTTGACTCGCATGCCGTACATTCCGCCATCGATGCCGTAAACCTCGCAAAATATTTCCAAATAGCGCTCCTCTCTCTTCGTTTTGGTGCCGTTCCCCGTTCGTTCATTTGATTCACAGACGGTTCCCCGCAATCACCTCCATCCGCCATAACACGGGTGGGAGAACGCGACAGTGAGCACAGTTTAAAAAGTGAGGAGTCACAGGGGAGCAGAAACTCGCAAATTACACCGACGCAAACCTCCTTGCAGCGACGCCACTGTTTAGTTTGAAGGGTTTGAAGCCGCCATGCAGCTATGTCACTGTCCTTGGGCCTTGCTTACCGAAATCGAAACCGAAAGCAAAACTTCGGCTTTTGAATACGTTATCTAATATTCGATTAATTTCGAATATTCGTGTTACGACGAATATTCGAAAAATACCGAAGGCTTGGTTTACAAATCGAATACGAATATTAAGTGTATAATATTCGATTCGTATTCGAAATTTCGAATATTCGCCCACCCCTAATATATACTTTTTTTTTAGTCTGCTGGTGCCAAAATGTTTTTGTCCGAGCATGATTTTGTAAGCTCGGGCGGTTATTGCGAAAATAAAACAATTATATCTTTATGAACGTGACGGTAAAACTAAGACTTAGCTAGGAAAAGCGAAACGCGAGGGAAAGCAGACAAATAACAGGCAAGGGTTCAAGCTCAGTCAGAAGGTTTATTTCGTACACACCTAATATATCACGTCTCGAACGCCGTCACTACATTCACCAGAACTTCCAGAAGCAACAAAAGCCCACAACAAGAGGACAGAATAAAACAAAAGGGTAAAAAAGTAAAAAAGCGCACACACACAGTTTTAACAAAAACGGGGGTAAACCTTGACTTCGGAACTGCCTACTCAGATCCACGACCTTGTAACAGTCTACAACCTTCCAGAAAAAATTAAAAATTTACAAGCGCAGATATTGTTTACATCCGTTCCCAAACTGAAACGACGCCTGACTTATACAGTTACCAGACCTTTCTTTACGAATCGTTTCTTGAACTGCAAATTTCATGTCATTACGTTTTTTTCCAATTACTTTCGTTTCGGACAAGTTTTCTTTGCATGCATGATATCACTGAAGGTGCCTGGCTAAGTCGTTGTTGGAAGCGTTGTTTCTCCCATTCCGTCTGTGGTCAGTCAGTCTATCTTTTATGCACCTCGACGTCTGACCTACGTATTTAAACACGCACTCCAAAAGAATCTCGGAAACCACTGATGTCTCACACGGAACGGGCCTTTCGAGGTGTCCCTCCTGCCATTCTTTCCGTGAGGATTCAAAATGCGTAATTTGGCATAACTTGAAATCAGACGTGAACACAGTGTTCACGACAACCTTCTTCGAGGAGGATTTGTGTTATGAGAAATATTATGAAAATATGAAATAGCAGCTAGTCGGCTCCCCACATCTTTATCATCATTATGTATGTATTTTTTGCGAAGGCAAAT